GATGCCAGTTTATAGACTTTCAGTAGTGTGTTCATCATGATGGAGAACACACCTATTTCCTGTCCCTTCTGAAAGCATGGTCTACCTGTAGGTGCTCTACTTCTGTGATTTATGATCACATATGTGCACTTTTTTCATGTGTGTACCATTTTTATATTTACATGCCAGGTTGTGTTATGATGATAGATGGACCGGTTGTCCTTGTCTACTCATCCCCCAAATCCCCTTCATTCTTAACATTCATCTCGGTTGTCTCAAGCTTTCCTGGTAAAGATCGTTCCTCTCTGAAGCACATTTCTTCATCTACCCCTGTGTGTGAGCTTTTTCTGCTGATATCCCATCTCTCGCTTCCTCTAAGCCCTGTTGCTCTTGCCACTTAATCACTGTCGCCTTAAATCTCAGTCTGTCCACGGCCAGCTTTCTTCCATACAGCTCACATCAGTCACTGCAAACCCAGTGATGACAGCTGTCTCAAGAGACTCTTCTCTTCTCTTCTCTTCTCTTCTCTTCTCTTCTCTTCTCTTCTCTTCTCTTCTCTTCTCTTCTCTTCTCTTCTCTTCTCTTCTCTTCTCTTCCATTAATCAATCTGAAAATGGTTCTAGATGGTCAATTGATACTTTTCATTAACTGACACTATTATGAAATTATGAAAAATTGCTCAGTTTACCCTTGAAGCATTGAAATGTTAACAGATGTGTGGTTTGATATGTCATGCTGTGATATCACATTGGTTGCTTTAAGTTGATGCGTACAATGATGTGAACAGCCATCAATTTAATATTTCCATGGACCATGTATTCGATATGTTGCTGAAATCAGTAGCCTGACTCAACGCATTCTCACCCCAAGGCGTCACCTTTGACCATGCTTCAATATTTGACGTTTTAGGCGCCCTTTAGCGTCACTTACATGACGCGATCCTACGGCGTCATCTAACTGACGCTAAAGGAAAGCGTCAGTTAGAGGACGCGGTTAGGTTTAGGTGTGGGGTGGGGGTAGGGTACACGCGATCCTAGGGCGTCATCTAACTGACGCTAAAGGGCGCCTAAAGCGTCAGATATTGAAGCATGTCCAAATGCTTCCCAAGGCGTCAGTTAGGTGACGCCTTGGGAGTGAGAATGGGCTGCCTGACTTCTCATTCTCAAACCTGTATTTTGGTTTCTAAATCACACTGTATCAATCATTGTGAACTCTTCGCCCAATCAAGCCTTGTAAAAAAAAATAGCTCCTCCTGCTCATTTGAATTTCGTCACACATAAATCTGTCAGGAGGCCCGTTAGGAATCACCATGATAAATTTCACCTGTAGCCACGCTCATATTTTATTAGACAGAAAGTGAAACGTGTCACAGTTTGATTTCAGCTGGTCATAACTTAGGAGGTTGTGAGGCAGGAAAGATAAACTGCTGCTCAGTGATTGTTTTGATTAAATTAGTGAATTTTCATAATTTAGACCTGTCTTTTCATAATTCAAATGCTTTGAGATTCTTCATTCGAGTTTCTCTTCTGGTTGTCTCAGTAAATGCTGTGGTAGGGCATCTGAAGTATTCAGAAAGTGTTTGTTGATAGATAATGCAGAAAGAAAATCTACGTTGGGTTCAAACCTGGATCCCTTTGAACTTCTTAGCATGTGCACAATAAATCGTGAACATCTTTAGAAAACCTTTTTTTTTTTGTAGACCTTTTGAATCTTTGATAGTGTCATTCCCATATTGAGCAGTCAAGTCAATATTACAACCTTAAAGCATATTTTAACACTGTCATAGAAATCCACTCCCTCAATTATTATGCCAAAAGATCAAATCCCCATTTCCAAAGGGGAAGGGGTAAGTAAAATCAGCATTTTCTCAGAAGTGCAAGTACAAATGCATAATAAATTCTGAGAGTAAGCCAGTCGCATTTTGTTTATCCCAATGTTCCTTACATTTGGCACTTGGTGCGTGCTAATTTTCGGTCCTCAGTGTTTTCTCCACTACTTGGTGATTTAATATTCTCAATATGGTGCTTTGGCATTTTCTGGATGTGTTTGAGTATGTGCATGACATTTCAAAGCCTACATTCATTATGTGAAATGTCAGCGATGTTTGACGGATAATTGAAAAAGGGCTCACAATTAGACTTGTGATATCAGCTTGCTCTGATAAACCCTCTACCGTAATGCTGGTTCTCAACAGTGACAGACAGAAGATGATTTGGCATGGATGTTTCACAAGTTGTTTGGTCTCCATAGGTCAAATAGATTGATTTGGTTAAGAATGTTGAATGTCGGTCTTGGAGAGATGCGTGGACTTTAAGGGATACTCCACTTTTTTGGAAATAGGCTTATTTTACAACTCCCTCAGAGTTAAACAGTCGAGTTTTTACCGTTTTCCAATCCATTCAGCTGATTTTCTGATATTTAGAAGAATATCAGTCACCAGACAGTTTCTGGTCTCATTGACTTCCATAAGAGGAAAAAAATATATACTGTATTTCATACAGAAAATGGATTTGAAAATGGTTTCGAAAATTGATTCGAAAACGGTAAAACTAAACTGTTTAACTCTGAGGAAGTTGTAAAATGAGTTTATTTCCAAAAAAAAGAGGAGTATCCCTTTATCACCTGTCATCAAAAATGATTTGATGATAACATAGGTTTCACTTTTAGGGCTGGGGTCACAGATTCTGCATCATACATGGCATAAACAACACAAACATGTGTTTACAAAGGCATTTTAACGCCCAAACATATAAGAATAGTGTTAGAGTATAGTTTTAGGAATTAGAGTATAGTTTATAACTACACCACCAATTAAATTTGAAATACATTGCATTCGAAAATTGCTTGCCTCACTTGATGCCTCTGGTACTGGTAAATGCACAGTCAGAAACTTTGCAGGGGGAAAATGACAAAAGAAAAAGAGATATTGTGACTGATTTAAACATTTAGGTCAAGATAGGGAGGGCCGATTGTGGTCTCATGTCTGAACAGTCCTAAGATCATCTCTGTCAATGCCAAGATTAGTGCTCCCATGAGCTGTGTATTGTAAGATGTAATCACTCGAGACAGTGATTACATCTTACAAGATCAGAGATCATAGATGGTGACACATGCACACACAATTTTAAATGCAAAAATATCACATCTTCTGAAACATAACCTTAACCCTGTATTATAAGCACAGAACACAAATTTTACTGTTTTCCTTAATAAAATAAAATCAACATAATGCAATCTTCCCTGTGCGTGTATGTTTGCAAACATGAAACAATGTACTTTCAACTGCCGTGTAACAAATCTGGCCAGATTACCAAGAAGAGGATTACAATACAGCCCCTGTGAGACTAATATTGTGCCCCATGACGTTTTATAACCCCAATATAACTATAAAATAAATATGACATTCGTGGAGAGAAAAAAAGACCCTTCAGCTACACAAATACTGAATGGCTTCGATGTTACAAAAGATTTTGAGGTTGCTGGAATCTGGAAAGTGCATTTATTTAAACAATCTTTTATAATTATGCTCATATTGATATGCTCTATGCCACTTTGTTAGGCTGTATTGGTTCTCTGGAAGCTTTTAGATTCTGTTCCAAGAGCTCTAATGGTCCCTTGGGCTGAACAGGATTTTGACCCTATTGAGCTGCTGAACTACCTCTCCCCTGTGGGAACATAATGTTGCAGTTGAATGTTCAATTATATTGATACATTATTCTGATAATAGTGTGATATGGGGTCAGTGTGACAGTTTGTAAAGGTTTGGGAGGGACAGGAACTCTATTTGTAGTCGTTTGACCTTGCAGGAAACTCACAGGATGAGACCTCACAGGAACTTCTAAGAACAGCTAAAGTTGATCAGTCCAGTGGAGTATCTGTAATGTATCGTGCAATACATGGCCAAAGTGTCAAATTTCAGTTGTTGTGTCTTTGCCAGAGCTTCTAAACAATGAATGTTGTTTGAAATGAAGGTTGTTTGGGTTTTGTGTGCTTGTGTGTATGTGTGTCTGTGTGTAGGTCGGGGTTGTTGTGACTGTTTAGGCTTGGCTAGCTGGGTCTGATGTGGATGTCATTGATTTCCTGTCCCCTGTAAGGGAACAGAGACTAACATCCTCTTCTTCGCCCCTGTATAGGAAACCACACTGTCAGCCTCAGCTTTAAACTCCTAGAACAAACCATCTTTGGCCTTATCTCCCCCTGCCATACACGTGCACCCACACATGCAAACCTGCTATGAATTGAAACATGAGCATTGGTTCCAATGAGGATAGAACCAGTAATAAATGAAAAAAAGTGTTATCTACATAAAACATTTTTTAAACCATCCATACTAGGGATATGCAAAACTAAATTTTTCAAAAAAACGTAAACAGCAAACTGTCTGACCGGTGTTCCTGTAGCACAACAACAGATCATGGTGCTTGCAACACTAAGCTTGTGGGTTTGATTTCCTGGGAATATGATGACCCAAAAACAGTGAGTATCGTTGATCATCTCATAACAAGGCACATATTAAAGTCTGGGTAGATTAGATGGTAAGGAGACAATTAGAATCTAATTAACATGTTAGATGCAGGAGAAATGGGCAGGAGTAACAATCTTTCTACAACCCAAATTGCTATGACAAGGCAACTGGGTCATTGTATATCTGAAATCAAAAGGCCAAAATTCACATTAATGTTCTTCATGCAGAAGTGGATAGGCAACTCATTTGTAAATTGATTTGTGGGCATATAGTCTAAATGAGAAAAATGACATTGATTAATTACACCAGTGGTAACCTATGCAAGTTAAACAAACAAAGGGCCCAGAATCAGGCCTTGGGGGACACCACATTATCACAATATAATTTTCTTGAACTTTTTTTTGTCATAACAGTTTATGAGATGACCTTAATGACCTGTTGTGTTACTAGTTTAACCACTTACTAATAAAAACTGTAATCTATTCACAATTCATGCATTTTCTTAAGTGATACTAGGGCAAATCTAATCAAGAAATTTACATTTTACGCTTAACAGAGCCATGGTAAAAAAAGGGGTGTCCTTCCGTAGTGCCACACCGACCAACACGCTACTATGGGACATCACCCTGGACACAGGCCCAGATGGAAGTGTTGGAGTAATCTGTCAGAGAAAGCCAACTGCAAATGTGAAAAGGTAAGTGTATCTGTTAAGGAAAATTTAATTAATTATTTTTAATCAGATGATTAGGCGACGGTAATTAACTAAGTTTTACTGGTGCCAGGCAAGAACTATTGTCCATGGAAACAGTGAGTTTACATGCTAAAGCAGATTGGTCAAAGTGGATTCCTGTAATTATTCTTGTAATTGGTTCATTAGTCCTGATCTGTTTAATAAATGTATGATTTCAATTCAAAGTGAATTAACCACAGAAACACCAAAGAATGGCTAATATGTGTACACATGCATGTTTGCCACTGAGGACTGCATGAAATGTTTACTATGCATGTATTAGATGGGAGTACAAAGATCAGGGTTGAACAGAGGTGTGTGTCAGAATCCTATTAGTGAAAGCCTGACCTGAAATCTCCTCACTATTTATGGTTGATGGAAGGAACAATTCTAGGCTTTCAGCCTTTGATTTGAGCATTAGATGACTATATATTTGCCAGAGAAGACAGCTGCCAATTTGATTAACTCCTAAAGTAGGGCTGAGTTATATTTTAAGACACATTAAACATTACATGCGCACATGTAGCTAAGCAAAAAAACAAAGGTAGCTTCCATGTGGCGTTTTCACTTTGTGAATGTGAACATGAGAATGTGACGTCACGGGTATCACTCCGTGTTGCATTGTGGGAAGGATTCACCATCTTGGAAGGATACGCTATCCGTTGTCATGGTTACTTCGACCGTGAGACCGATAGAAATAGCGACAGAAAGAGAGCAGTTTGATAATTGTTTGCATTTTTGCAATAAGGCACAGTTTCTTGGGAATAAATGAAGAAGGGGGAAGCAAAAGGAAAGGGGCTCCATCGTGAGAGACTAACCAACAATACCAAGCAGCGTTATTTAGAGAAACTACTTGACATCAACAACATGGACCTGTACAACCTGCTACAGAATGGACGAAAGACCCAAAGCACTACTAGCTTTCACATACCCTCACATAGTCTATTACATGGTTTATGGTATCAGGTAACACGTTACTGTCTAGACATTACAATGCAAGAGTTCAGAAGCTTTAAGTCATTAGAAGCTTATGAACAATTCTGCTGCGGCTGGGTGCAAGACTTCCCCAAATACCCAAACCTGTAACGTTAAACTGCGAGAGTTCAGTCATACTTGATGTTTCAGGTCTGATTCAAATGTGGAAATAAATCTGATATTTTATTTATTTATTTATTTGAAAGGGACAATGAATGAGATATGTACATTGCACCTGCCGTGCAAAGTTAAGCGGACAGATCGGACATGCCCCTGTCAATGCGAGTCGTACGCCATTAAAAGAGTGTATTTTTAAAACAAGGGTATTAATTTAATTCGTTAAATAAAATAAATGTTAAATAAAAGGCGAACTGTGCTGAAATGTGTTCCTTTTGAAATCATGCTTTGCTCACTGTTGCTGCTGTCAGTTTATTGACAAGCAGTTTCTCTAAATAAAGCTGGCCAGCATTGTTATTTAGTCCCCCCCGATAGAACCCCTTTCATTTCTCTTCCTTCTCCATATCTTCCAAAGAAACTGCGGCGTATCACTAAAATGTAAAATGTAAACAAATACTAAGCTGCGCTCTCTCTCTCTCTCTTTCGCTATTTCTGTAATGTTTAGTCGCACCTCAGTGAAGTTCTGAAGGCGTTGCCCCTGTCAACCGATAGCGTCTCCTACCATCATGGCTGACCGGCTCAGACCCCGCCCAAATCGGCACGTGACTCCTCACTCTCAATAGATCGTGGAAAATGGCCCAACACTGTTTACAGCAGATTCTCACGATTAATACAGCCCAAAACGATAATCACCATAATCCTTAACTTAGATCTAAAGATATTCCTCCTGGATATTGAAAACACTTGTTTAAAGAGGTTTTTGGATGCTCTGCTTAACAAAAAGGCTACCTTAGTCCCAAATACTGTAACTTTTGATTACTTTTTGGTATCGCTGCAAAATTTGATCCAGATGCAGCACACATATAACTTTATTTCCTAATTTCCTTCCTGAGTTATTACATGCCAAATAAGAAATATGTGTAATATTTCTTTCAGTGCACCCTTTTTTCCCTAAAAATTGTGTTTTCTATCAAACAATGCCTACATTTTGACTCCCCTTGCTATAATTTTGGAGTTATGGGTCTTTACTTTTGTGTGTGTCACTAAAAATGCTTTCAGGGCTTAAAGGGTTAAAGGAGGTGAAAGTGATTTCTGAATAAATAATTGCATCTCTCTCCAATATTGCTGCTGAGGCAAAGTGGCGTATCCTTCATTGTTTTTAAATTTTGGATTCAGTACTTGGTGCACAACAAAAACCCTATGATAGACATCCATATTTAAGTAGCAACAAAGGATTAATATTACAATATCCTGCCTTAAATAGTGATTTAAACATATTCAATCAATTGTTCATTTTATTTCTAAAGCACATTTAAAAACAAAAACAAAGTTGACCAAAGTGCTTTACAGACCCAAACTTACAACATAGACAAACACACCATAAAACACACCAAACACTAAATAAACCACATGTATCTAAGAACAGCTAGAAGCAGCAGAGAAGAGATGGGTCTTCAACCTAGATTTAAAACACTCAATGGCATCATAAGATTTAATGTGTAAAGGGACACTATTCCAAAGACGCGGTGCTGCTACCACTATATTTAACTAATACATCTAAAGAATAGTAATAGATCATTTTATTTTGATGGTCCCCTTTAGACATTCTGTTGACTATAAGCAGGCGTGCACCTACATGAATAGACTGTTTGCTTAATATCTGCTAAGACTTTATTTTGATGATCCCCGTTCATCAAGGTTATTCTAACCTTAAACACATATTATATTAACCCTCTATTCTAACTCTTATTATATATTATATTAACCCTCTATTCTAACTCTAACTCTAAGTCTAATACTCATCTAATGAGAGTTAGTTGACATGTAGGTGCAATGTTACTTATAGTAAACAATGTTTAAAGGGGACCACAAAATGTAACCAATAATTCAAGGTCTATAAATAAATGGAATTGAATTAGTTTGTGGAATGATATTGGCTGTAATTCGCTAATTGACACCCATTGTGTTTGTTGTTGCTTTTACTGTTTTATACTTGATTAATCCCATGGTCCTGTGAAACACATGAGCTCCCACTAGCCACTGGATCACTGGATTATTTTATCAGGGATTTCTTTAAAATTCATTTCTGTGTCAATCCCAGTTTTTGAAACAATTGCCTTTTTGACTGTACAAGAGATCCATTGACGAGATGCATTAAAATAAATAAGCTGTTCACGTAAAAAAATCCATCTGAACTCTTTGGTTCATTCCTAGAGCTTGAAAGCAGTGTATTTTAAAGCTAAGATTTGAAACAGATGCATCAGATTACGGGTGATCCCATGTCCTATTGAAAGCATTATGCAGGGCATTGATGGGATTGCACTACTAAGAGGTTAAAAAGATATGGCTCGCTGATAGCTTGAAAGGTTGAGACCACAAGCCATGTACTGTATCTTTAAAAGTCACTGTTTCACTCATAAATGTCATATTATTCAAGTGGGTTGTGAATGGCAACGACGGTATGACCATTATACAGTTATTGACTGAGTCAGTAGTTCAAACAGAGCAACTTGCAAATGCAGTTTGTTTGACAATTTGATCACAAAAGATTAAGAGGGCTTACGGTATATGGCATGAGGTGTTTAATGGCACGCTCTCTTTCAGATTAAGCAAACTCCTAGCAGTTCTTCAGATGGATTTTGAAGTGGAGGATGTCAGCAGCCAGTCAGAGATTCAGGTGATTAAGTGGGAGTTGACTCTTCCTGATGAGGTCAAAATGATGGGGGCGTCTGAAGGCACCATGAGGATCTATACCACTCAGAGGGACTTTGTAGGCCTGGCTCCTCTAGTTATGGTAGGTAATTCATCAAAGATAGTTTAAAAAAAGTCTTCACTAATATGTCCTTTGTAAAGAAAGAAAGACAGAAAGAACACTTTAGCTCCACTTTTTCACTTCCGTTTTTTTTCTTCATTTGTCACCCAATAGAGTTTGGGTTCCTTGCCACTTTTGGATTGCTTAATTGGGGACACGTATTATCCGGAAATTGAACTGATCAGTTATTAAACTGAACTGACTCGAGCTGAATAACTACAGAACTGTCTTCAGTAGAGCTGCTTATAGCTGAATTGAACTGATTTATAATGGATAAACAGTTATTGAACAGAACTGAATCAACACTGAACGGAACTAAATAATGACACTGTTGTCTAACTACTTCTGTCAAATTTGATGAAGTTTTCATCATTATTTCTGTTGAAAATTGAAAGTGTATTTTAGATTAAACGTATATACAATGCTTTAGCTTTACAGAACTTTAGTGTTTTTTACACTTAAGATATACTTAAGTACATATTTCTGCCATTTTAAAATTAGGCCTACGTTTACGTATTATGTTCGGCCGAATGTACAGACAAGCATATGGTAAACTAAAATATACTTCAATGTAATTTCTATTGAAACTTCTATGTTATTTATTATGTATTTGTAATTGTCTTCTTGTTTAAAACAGTGATTTGAAATGTAATAATACAAATGCCTTTTTATAAGTGTACTTATGTATGTCAAGAAACTTTTTATGAAAGTATTTTCTCTTCAAGTTCACTTAATAGGCCTTAAGATTTGTACACTACAAGTGGATATTTTGAAATAATCTGATTGGCCTGTTAATAATACGTTGCAAGAAAACACAACACCATTTCAATATAAAGTATCCAGTTTACCCGTTTACTTACCAAATAATTAAAAATTCTAATATCTGGGGTGGTGTTAGGTTTAATTAACAATTTGTGTTTTAAAAGACATGGCAGACAACTTTTTAACAAAACCGGTGTTTGTATCTGAGACAGTAAAGCATCTTCACGACTTATTCACTGGCATTTGAAAGACAGAATTGATCCAGCAGGGTACCAGGGGCTCGGCACTGTGACAGAACTTGTAAATGCGACAAGCTTCATCTGCAAGACAGATCATGTTGACCTTTGGATTGTGTCCAAACATGAGCAGATTTAGGCATAATCAATCAGATTTTCTGTAGCAGCTCTAATATACAGCTGGACACCGTCCCAGAAATCTGAAAACAGCACAGGACAGATAATGGTCAAAAACTCCTAATATGTTTGCCAGATCTCTTATGAAAAAATGTGCTTTTAGTATACTTTAAAGGGGTGGTTTACTGCTTTTTTTTCTTTGCATGATTGTGTTTATGGGGTGCAATATAACATGTATTCGTGTTTTTTTCTTTTTTTAAAAGTCTTATTTTTCATAAACTTCATCTTTATTGTAAGCCACTTTCTCCTCTGTTATTTGAATGACCGGTTTACATCCTGAGTCTATAAAACCACTCCCTCAGAAACAGGCAATGGGCTCAGATTGGTTAGTTTGGGCCGGTGTGTTGTGATTGGCTAAACTGTGTAGTACATGTTGTCCGAATACTTCACGCCCATTACCTTTACGGGCGAAAGTTGCATGTGTGTTCCTGTCAAATGTAAATAATGGTGTCAATACTGCAGTATCAGTATGAGCCAGAATCAGACCCAGAAAGCGGCGATGAAGAGAGCACACAGAACCTCACCACACACGGCTCTTACAAAACATTTCTGAATGGTAATTTGCCTATATATTTTTTTACTTTATACACGTTTGTTTTACACAATAGCATCAGACTGACTGGCTACTATATACACAAACAGCTTTGGTATTGGTTTACGTTCTTGATCAAATCGAATCGTTTCAATATTACATGAAAAATACATTTACAAAATTAGTACATATACAAATTCAGGTCCAAAATCAGTCCCTCCAGGATTTCGCGGGCCTTTTTTGTGATTGTTGCGGCCTAAAATGCCTGATGTTGCGGTCGCTTTTTTAAAAAGTTGCGATAAAAGTTGCGATGTTCTTCTGCATGTTTTTATAGGTTAAAACGGCAAAGATAGATAGATTTTTAACTTAAAATGTCCATATTATGCTTTTTGGCTTTTCCCCTTTCCTTTATTGTGTTTATATTTTTTGTGCATGTTATAGGTTTACTAAGAGAGAAAAGTCCAAAGTCCACCCCAAAGGGACTTATTATGTCCCACAGAAAACACTGTTCATCATCTGCATCTGCTCTATTGTAGTCCAGAATTGACTTAAGAGACAAAGTCACACACTTTGTAACACACGAACAAACTAACTAACCATTAGTAACCATAAAAGGCAAAACAAACGATTTGAAGAGACAGCAAAACATAACAAACTAAGCCTCTTTTTTTTAAACAGAACCTCACAGATCCTGCAGAACCTCACAAACATTAAGCAGCATTTATGTTGAAAGATGCCAATACTAATAAAGTGCAAAATACAGTTTTAGGAATAGCCACTAAAGTTAAATGGTGGAAAAACCAAATGTTTGATAATGTATTTTAATATAGCTAATATAATATAGTATTAGCCGCATATCCAATAAAGCTTTTTTTTTTTTTTTGTCAGACAATAGAACGAGTCGGCTAGCTATTTTTTATGTGTAAAATTTTCTGAATTGAGAGAGTTCGGGAACTGGGTGAACTGCACTGTGATAGTGAGTAGCCTATTACAAGTGATAAACACAAGAAAAGAAAGGAAAATAAAATGGTCAAACTCAATTCTTTAAATATAAAACAAAAGAGAAGCAGATAAGTGATAAGTCCGTGGAAACAACACTGCTCATTCGCGTCTGTCAGCTGCCGTGCTGCTCCTCTACTGCAGCCGTTCACTGAACAGGGACGCAGAGAGAGGTGTGACGGCAGGGAGAAAGCAAACCTCGCGCTCGCAGGATTGTGCTGGCAACATTTGGTTACTGAGGTTTGTCCAAAAAGCCGCTAGATTTGTCTCTAGTCGCTTTTTTATATCACTAAATATAGTGACAAAGACTAAGTTGGCAACATTGGCCTTTTCTGTTATTTTTCTAGGTAGCCTAATGTGAGACGTTGGCAGTCCACATCTGCTGCGTCTTCTGAACAAAACAAGTGAGTTTGCTGATGTATGACGACGCTTTGCAGGAGACCGCGGCGCGATGATTCGTCAAAGTTGCAGAAAAGTTGCGGTGATTTTTCAAAATTGCAAGGCGCACTGAATTCACGTGGATTTGTTGAAGTTGTGTTAATAGTTGCGATCGCGACATCGCGAAATCCTGGAGGGACTGCAAAATGTTTGTACGCGTTTGTCGTAGACACGAAATAGCATAACTAAGTGGCTATATAGCCAGCGCTGGCATTTGATAAAACTAAAACATTACGTCTGGAATTATACATGCAAATACATTTAAAATGATGAAGTCTTAGCCTACTTACAGGTTGTGGCTCAACAACTGCTGCCTCTGGTTTTAAAGTTGGAACTGCTTCTTGTTTTAGTAACAGTTTCTTGTTGAATCCATCATTGAATTCGTGGAGATTCTGGAAGCTGTCTTCCGTAAATGCGCAGTACAGAGAGCTAAATTACGAGTGTCATTTTCAGAAACATAATCAAACATAATTGTACCCATTGTTGATGAACTACAACGTCCGTGGGAAGCCGGAACACAGAAGACCTGACAGCTGGGTGAACAACACACTCGACGAGCCGCAGAAATATGGCCATGCCATTTTTTGCATATTCCGGAGGAAGGGTTGATGCAAATGTATGGGTTAGTTATGTCTAAAACCCGTTGTAGTCCCATTCAAGTCGTTTTTGTAGGCATTAAACTTCCTGATTTTTTAAAAATGATATCTCTGCTTACATTGAACTTTTCAGTGCTGCAACTTTGCAGATAATGTTTATGCACCAACAGCAACATTACACACTATTTAAAATGAAAAAAGTGAAATCGCAATCAACCACCCCTTTAAAAAAATATTATAAAAAAAACGGTATATCGGTTGGTGTTTTAATGTTTTAGCCCTTAAAACAAAGGCTTTTTAACCATTGCATCCTCAGAAGTACTGAAATGGTAAACTTACGTATACTGCTACTACAGTGATATTAGTATACTACATAAATTATACTTGGAAAATATTTGTGAACTTACTTAAGTTTGCTTAGTAATAACTTTGAAGTATTATGTACTAAAACGCACAAGAATTCCAATGTACTGAACCTGTACTGAAACGTACCTGTGCAAATGGCAATAAAACTTACAGGATCTTGTTTTTGGACATTTGAGTAATAGCACATGGATCTGCTAAAAGTTCATTCTCAATAAGGCTCTTGCAACTAAAAAACTCTTGAAATGCTTATTCAAATAATGCATATATTGGCCTCTTTAAAAAACAACAAAAAAAACAAAAAAACAAATCCAATAGTTTATGTCACAGCCTGGGAAATCCATGATTTGCACCTTGCAAAGTCTAGTCGGCTTTATGTGTTTTTTAGAGGGTGAGGATATTTAGAGCGTATTATATTGGATAAGAAATTAATCTAACTATTTTAGTTCATGAAAAAACAATACTGTTTGATCAAACTAAGTGTAATGGCAAATCCTTTTTGTTTTTCATTTTTAGTAAAACCACATTTATATGCTTATTTTTAATGCATTGCATAAAGGTAAATTAAGTGACCTTTGTTTCCTGAAAACCTGTTTCATTTAAACGAGCAGGCATTTTGCATCTGTCAGGATCTTTAAAGTTCAGAGGTTTGCCTCACTAAGCTGGCTCTTCCCATTCACTGTAGACAATATTGGCAAATGGGGCGGTGGTGACCCATTCAATAATCCGTTTTTGCTTTTCACTTTTCATCAAAAAAATTACTTTGATTACATAAAGTTGTACCAGTCCAGGTAGTGCATCTCTTGGCCAGATTATCTAAATAGATTGACACATGCCATTCCAACCTAAAATCCGCCTTTGTGTCCCTTAACATACTATTCTACCAGTAAAATGTGTTGAAAAAATGCACTGGTATTATGCCATTATATTCATCACTAGATTGCATGGTGTAAACGTAACTCTGACCTTCAATTGTAGTTGTTGAATCTCTAACCTCCACTGTTAAAGTTGAAGCTTGGCTCAGTATCACGATCCGACATTTAACTTTGATCTCTGTCCCCATGTGCAGGACACAGAGCTGTTGAACACTGCCGTGCTGACGGGTAAGAGGGTTACGGTGGCTGTGCGAACCATTGCTGTTGAACAGGATGGTTCTGTTACGGATGTCTCGGACTTTGCTGACTGCAGCTCCACAGATGAAAATGTTCTAAAGGTACAGTTCATTAAACTGTATTCACCCTTTTATTTTTTCTTTATCTCAGCTTGGATACACCAGTCATAAAGTCTACTGAAAGTCACATCAAGCTAATATCAAACTCTCATTCTCTTTGTGCATGCGAGATAGCAAGAGGTCAATAACGTGATGCTAATTTTCTTTGACCAGATTTAATAATTTATTCAAAATGACATTAAAAATTGTATTCATTTACACAATGACATGATTGCACCTCTCCTATAATGAGCATGTTTTAATTGAAATTCTTCTTAGGGCATAAAGTCAAAAAATGATAAATTACAATATCATAATGCAGAAAAAGGCTTCATTAAACTAATGAAATTATTGGGAAAAAAAACATATGAAAGAGTTGAACTCTTCAGATGCAAAAGCCTCTAAATGCCATTTGAAATTTTCTTCTTTAATGATGATTTTTATCAAACTTGTATATTTAAGTTCAAATTTCACTTAAATAACAATAAGTTATTAAATTTCACTTAAATAACAATTAATAGGTAATTATCATTGCCATTTAAGTGAAATTACTGAACTTAAATATACAAGTTTGATAAAAATCATCATTTTAGAAGAAAATTTCAAATGGCATTTAGAGGCTTTTGCATCTGAACTCTTCATATATATATATATATATATATATATTCACTGTTAACATATAAACACAACAAAATATTCTGGGGACCATAAAAGCTTTGAGAATATGTAAAAAAAAAAAAATGCTGGCGTTGGCTGGCTTTTTAGTAAACACTAGTGGGTAAAGGAAGAATTAATGGTTGCTATAATGCTGAAGTTACTATAGTATGCAGTAGTAACTGCAGAGTTGATGAATAAAATATAAGACATGGTCTCGATATGGTCTCAATGGTGCGAGTCCGTCTAGTGCAAGTTTACATAGAAAAACAGGTCCCACTATATATTAAGTGGCTTTAAGTACTATGTACTTACATTGAAAAATAAGTACAATGTACTTATTGTGCTCATGTTGTATTGTAAAACACATTTGCTGCTATTGAGGTGTGATATGGGTAAGGTTAGGGACAGGTGTGGTGGTATGGGTAGGTTTAAGGGTAGGTTTAAGTATAAGGGATGGGTCAGCTGTGTAATTACAGATGTAATTACATAAATTAGTTACAGCTGTAATTACATGCTGGTATTTTTTGGTATTTTTTAAATGTAAGTACAATGTAAAAACATGTACGTACACAATAAGTCCATTGTATCAAATTATTTGTTTCAATGTAAGTACATAGTACTTAAAGCCACTTAATATAAAGTGGGACCGAAAAACAATTAAAAGCAGCAGAGCTTACTGTAAACCCCTCTGACAGAGCTTTATGATTGGCCCAAAGAAAAGTTCTCACGTCATACATGCTCATACTGGATAATCTCATGCTTTTATCACAAATAGCATCATAGTGGGAAGTTACTAGTAAATTACAACCTCTCATACCAGAAAATTGCCATAACTGATTTACCGGTAGGTCTTGTTCACACACAACTTGTAATTTACCAGTTAAGACTGTATGTGTGAAAGGGGCTACTGTCAGACATGCGGTGATAGAAGGTCTCAAAAGAACATCTCAAAGTCTTCTCTTGTGTATGCAACCTCTGTCACTCGGAGTGTTCTTGTGACTGTCCTCGCAAAGTCATTAAGCCACGCTCTGACCTCACTCAGGAGGGCTGGATCCTCTTTGTTGAGGACTTAATCTGAAAGGACAGCTCAGCACCATACTGTGACTACAGCCAAGATGAGAGACTTAAAAGAACTTCAGCCGTGTCTCATTCAAGGACAACACTGCTTTCTGGCCTGATTTCTTAGAATTACACAGAAATGCATTTACTTTCATGTCCTCAGTAAAAAGAATATATATATAGCCAAACTTAAAACAAGATTAATAGATTATACATGAGCAACAAACATGATGAGACTCATGTTTGGAATAGCTCCCCAAAAATGAAAATTCATGTTGTTTCAAACCAATATGCTGTTGTTGTTTTTTGCAGAGGAACACCAGCTGAAAGATATCATATGGCATTAGAATACTTTATATCACAAAGATTGTATTGTTTTATTTTATTTTATTCTTCACAAAGAAATGACTGAATTGCTGTACGTGAATAGCCGTGTGCAGAATCTTCAAATCTGTGTATTTGTATTTTTCTACTTTTGGGAATTTCCATGCAAAACAATAACAGCATAAGGTTTGGAACAACATTTAATATTGCTTAATTTTGTAAGTATATCTACTCCACTAATGCAAATAGTTCACCAAGCAGCACACAAATCAAAAATCTTTCTGGATAAACAAGCTTATACAAGTGAAGCGGGCTGACCTCTTTCACTCGATGGCTGCATCCGAAATCACATACTTCCCTACTACATATAATAAGCAAAAAACTGTATGTGGCAAAATGTGTCCCATTTACCCAGATGACTTACTTCTTCGGGCGAGATTCTGAAGTGTGCGTATGATGGACACATTACTATCACATTAGGCTACGGGAGAGGATTTATGAATGGCAGTGAAGCGTAACTGATGCTGGTAGATCATGTGATAATGATGACAACATGGTGAATGTAGTACGTTCCAGGTTACATTCATACTACACACATTCAAACTATACTGTACGTACTGTTTTAGCGATAGTGAAGTAATTACTTATTCAAAATAAGTACCTACTCAAGAGAGTATGTGATTTCGGATGTGTTCAATAATCACTCCGCTCCAGATCCACTGAGTTTTACTTTACCTCAGCGATGAGAGAAACCTAATCTGGGATGCTTTTCCCTACAATGGCACAACTGGCTGCTGAACTATCATATCAGAGAAGTAACACATCTTTCTTTTGAACCACGTTGGTTCAACAACACAGAACTGTCATTAATTACAACAAGCAGAGTAATAGTTTCTGCTAATTATTTGGTTCAAGATCGAAAAAATGTCAGATTATTGTTGTAAATAACAATAACAAACATGACATCTGAGAACTGCTTGGGAAGTTTTGTTCTCCATTGTATTGCTTTATATATAGATGTTTGATCCCATTGCGGGCTCCCTGTTATATCTTATTACAGGCTTCCCTTGGGAAACTGGAGCACAAACACTCTCTTCAAAAACAGTACTTTCTTTCTCTGGACAAAGTAAAAGACACACAATGAAAATTGTATGGAAGAATGACAAGATTTAGAATGTACTGCATGTTAGCTTGCTTTCTTATTGTACTTTATATCACAAACTATTTATCTAGTCCATATGTCATACTAAAAAAATACATAAATAAATAAATACTGTATGCTTCTAACCAGGTCAAGAGTTGAAGTAAACAGCTTTGTGATGCTTTTTGTGAATGGTTTTCAGAACTATGGTTTCGGGAAACACAAATATTTGAAGTATGTTTGGTAAAAACAGAATTTGTGAAATGCACCAATTGTGGAGTGAGAGAAATCACTTTCATTTGGACTTAATAAAAAATAAAAAATGAATAACATGGCTGACCAATCAGAATGAAGTATTCTAAAAAAGAGCCATCTATCCATCACTGTCTCCTCAGGTTATGCAGCTTCTGTACCAGTAAACTATTAATATTTTACCTGGGTAGGTAAATGTAAATTTCTTCTTGTAAACTTCCTCTCCCTACCGTTTCATGCTACTGCCTGTCATCTGTTGGAATGCTAGTATATGTATATAGAGAGAGAGCCTCTGGGATGTGTGTGCCTCGCTTCACATCAGAGTGAATGTATCAGGCATAAACAAAGGCTTCACTTGCTGTCTAGCACAAACTTACATTCTAGACAGCATCCAACTGTTCATTTTATTTTTAAAGCAAAACACCTTCATGAAAATATGACACATAAACAATACTTACACTCTAAAAAATGCTGGGTTGTTTTAACCCAATTTTGGGTAAAATATGGACAAACCCGAAATGTTGGGTTAAAAATGTAATGTAAAAATTTAACCCAACGGCTGGGTTAGTCCATATTTGACCCAAAGTTGGGTTAAAACAACCCAGCATTTTTTAGAGTGTACAGTACAGCATATTACATTCAGTATTTATATTACATTCGGCACAAATGTGATTGCTAGAACTACTGGTAATTATTCATTCGTTTTTTAACTTAGGCCCTGTTTACACGTAGTATTAAGGGTTTTTGTCAGTCTTATCATGAGTGGACAATGCTAGATACAGGTGTAAACAGGGTCTCTTTTTAAGCTCTTTTGAGCTTTTCCACTTTCGACCACTTCCAGAGGTAGTCGAAAACGCATTCGGCCGGATTGATTCAGCATTGTAAACGCTCCTGTGATCGAACAGCCTCAAAAGACTGCCTACTCTCCGCCCAAAGAACTAATGTGTAAACATTATGGGAAGTCTGGTAGCCAGATGGGATTTAAACTTTGACGACTGAACACCCGAGTTTGATTTGAAGAAGAAAAAGGTACCAAGCACAATTTTCTCTCACCATTCCTGATTTCTGACACACGTGGTTTTGCTGCTGTCAGAGCAGAAACGAAAGCTGCTGTTCCGTGTATTTCCATATCATCTTCCTTTGCGTTTAATTTTTAAATTTCCACCAGGTGTAAATCGTCTATTTGTGATCCGATCGACCAAAACTAAAACACATCTTAAAGGATTAGTTCACCCAAAAATGAAAATTAAGTCATTAATTACTCACCCCCATGCTGTACCAACCCCGTAAGACCATCGTTCGTCTTCGGAACACAAATGAAGATATTTTTGATTAAATTTGAGAGCTGTATAACTACCACATTGGCTGCCTAAGGGACTGGCTCTTGACGGCCCAGAAAGTCAATGAAGAAAATGTTTAAATATCCCAAGTGACTACCGTGGCTCAACTATATGTTTATCAAGCGACGAGAATACTTTTTGTGCGAAAAAACAAACAAAAATAACGAGTTTATTCGACTATTCCTTTTCGGCCTGAAACGAGACTTCCTTAGATTTCCACGACGCATGCGCGAGAACTGAACTGAGGTAGTTGAAAGAGATCGCAATTCTCGCGCATGCGTCGTGGAAATCTAAGGAAGTCTCGTTTCAGGCCAACAAGGAAGAAAAGGAATAGTCGAATAAACTCGTTATTTTTGTTTGTTTTTTCACACAAAAAGTATTCTCGTCGCTTGATAAACATATAGTTGAGCCACGGTAGACACTTGGGATATTTAAACATTTTCTTCATTGACTTTCTGGGCCGTCAAGAGGCAGTCCCTTAGGCAGCCAATGTGGTAGTTATACAGCTCTCAAATTTAATCAAAAATATCTTTATTTGTGTTCCGAAGACGAACGAAGGTCTTACGGGGTTGGTACAGCATGGGGGTGAGTAATTAATGACTTAATTTTCATTTTTGGGTGAACTAACCCTTTAATACCGGGTGTAAACAGTTCACTGCTACTGTTACTAGGCCCAGATGGAATTTACTCATATTTATGGCATTTTCCACACTGGTTTTGAGGGATGGATTCTATGTGATGGATCTAAACATGGTAAAATATCTTATACAGAGCTAAATCGGGTACTTTCTCGTTTGAAATGGATAGTACAATCAAATTAGAAAAGAAAAAAATAATCAAATGAATGGACATTAATCATATTCTGCAGATATTTGCAGCACTGGATAGAAATGTGAGTCAACTAATAGGATAAATACCATAAATACGGTATTATAGATTATAACGTCAAATGCATCCATAAACATGTCATTTGCAATCCATGTAAACCCTGTATATGTAAGTAATCATGGTGTTTATAGCTGTACATGTGTAAAAATGCCAATCAACACAAGCCATAGTGACACAAACACTACATATTAACTCATAAATACAGGACATAATCTACTCTGCTAACTTGCTATTCCACACCAGGATGTTGGTCAAAGTCACCCCTGTATGCCTTCCTCAATCTTGTTAAAATGTAATTGCATCATAAATTATAAGTTTGATTTAATCATGTGGCGGCATGCATTCGGTAAGCCCATGTTGAATGGTTAAGTGTCTTTGCGACTCCAGATGTCTTGCTTTATATTTCAAAAGTGACAGTAAACGCCTAAAGGTTACATCAAAAATGCAGCATAAGGGCCATGGAGTTAGCAAAGATCAACCACTACTTCTTTCTTTCAAAGCAATTCAATCTCAAGTAGTTCTAAAACTTTAAATGCGGATCTGAACCTAAATTATATTTGGTCCCAAAAATGCATATTTGTACTAGGGCTAAGCACCAACAAATCCTCTTACAAAGCCAAAAGTCTATTTAAATCCAGCAAAACATGAAAACTACAGTGTGAACAGCCTGGGCATTTGGAGTTATAAATAACATAAAACAATTTTGGATGCCCTCAGGTGTCTGACAGATGCGACTTTGTCTACGTGAATGGGAAAGAAACCCAGGGGCGAGTGAGGATGCTGGTGAACTTCACCTACAGTTACCTGAGCACTCAGCTGGAGATGAAGGTTTGGTTCCCTCGTCTGCCACTGGATATAGAGGTGTCTGATCCAGAGCTGAGTCAGATCAAGAGCTGGAGGATCCCTATCATGTCCACCAAGAGGTACAAAAACACAATGACAGCGTTCTAATTAATGTCTTAAAGGAGTAGTTCACTTTTTAAAAAAAACTTTTGCTGATAATTTACTCACCCCCATGTCATCCAAGATGTCCATTTCTTTCTTTCTTCAGTCGAAAAGAAATTAAGGTTTTTGATGAAAACATTCCAGGATTTTTCTCCATATAATGCACTTTACTGGTAACCAAACGGTTCAAGGTCCAGTGCAAACTGCAAACTGTTCAAAGGGCTTCAAACGATTCCAGACGACGAATAAGGGTCTTTTCAAGTGAAACGATCGCTCATTTAAAAAAACATATAACAAAGTTTAAGTTTTATAAGCCACAAACGCTCGTCTTGCTCTGTTCTGTGATGCGCGTTCGTGACTCTCCTGTTCGAACTCA